GTTGTGGAGGTACCTTCGCTCAAACTTTTAAAATATCTTGGCGCAGCTTCTACTTTTGATAGGCGGGTTGATTTTCTCTAACTTTTGAGCGAAGATATCTCCATAACCACCTGGCCAAGTTCAATGAATTTTTTTTTATTTGGATTCTGTGGATTAATAGAATTCAAATAAAAAAAATTTCATAGAGGACTTGCCTCCATCTCTTTTCGATCACGTGATTTATCATCACTCCGCATGAAAATCTCGCTTTAGTAAAATCACGCCATAATTTTAATCACATGCAAATTAACGAATAAATCAAGTTAGATGCTATATTGTTATACAACACTAGTACGTACGTATGTATAAATTTTTTTTTTAGCTAAAGTAATGAAGAATACGAGTTTAGACATTAACATTAATACGTATAGTCAAACAAATCTCATACAAATATATATAAATATAGTGCGATGCGTTATCATAAAGATTAAGTGCATATTTTCACATTTTAACTGCGTCTAATGCATAGTATTACATATCACTCCATTCATGGTATTTACGTTAATTATTACGTTATTAAAGCTACTTTATTGAAGTAACCAAAATATTAGATAAAGATAAAAATGCCAATTAATAAAAAAATTCTGTAAAGATAAAAATGCCAAGCTAATACAAATAATTTTGATCATATAAAGATTTAAAATTTTGCATGTACGACTTCAACCCTCATTTCTTCGATATTCTTACCTTAAATCAATTTAAGGTATTAAGATTCAAAATTTAATGTTTGATTTTCGTGCTAACTTGACAAGTTTTGTAAAACAGCTAAACAACGATCATCTTTCACTTTTTTCGTTATTCACATAGTTATCATCAATTTTTTTTTTTAAGTTTTGAAGCTAAAGAAAATGGAAAAACTAATAACAATTTGTAAAAAGTTTTTTAAAAATTCATTTTATAAATACTTTATTAAACTTGCATTATATTTGACGTACGTACGGTACATTTTATAAGTCTTAAATTCAATGTATCGTATAACCGCGAAATAACGCGCAGGGGTATAATTTCAATTTTCGGCCTAAATTAAGCTTAATTCGGGCCAAAATTCAAATAACGCCCCTGTGCGTTATTTCGCGGTACGTACGTCATTTTTTAATCGATAGTCAATTGAAAGTGAACCTATCAAGAAAATTTCTTGGATATCTGGAGTTAAATCCAATTATTATAATGGTTGGGCCGCTCAAAGTTGATTAGTTGTTTAACGTCAATATTTGGGCTCAAGCTCGAGGGGGGGAAATTTAAACAAACACAGAATATTTAACTAAATCTCATTGGCCAACTTTAACCACATGATTATTGGAGATTATCCTGCGTCGTGATTGGCTTGTTTAATTTCTGGGGGACAGCTAATCGAGAGGGGGGGATGACGTTAAACAACTATTCAACTTTGAACGGCCTTGGCTAAAATAGGTAAGCTTTTATTAATATTAAATAAATTGGCCTAAAACATAAAAGTAAAATTACCGTAAACTGCCGTATACAAGACCCCCAGATATCAGATCTCCTATGTACTAGACCCGGGTGTGAATCTCAAAATTTACAATAACCAAATGCGCATTTTTTAAATATCTAAACTGACCACTATGAATGAAAATATGCATGCTTTTTGATTTTTCCTTCTAATGGTACAAACTCTCCACCATGTACTAGACCAAGGGACTTGTATTAGGTTTTAACTTTGGTGAGTGTAAGAGACCCGGGCTTTTATACGGCAGTTTACGGTAACTGTTTCACCCGGGAGCATATTGATCGGTCGGATTCGACCACCCACTTATGTGATTAGAACTTGTGTGTTATTAGTGTAAAAATAAAGATCACGTCACTTATAGTCTTTAAATAACATCCTGTCATCATATTCAAACAATATAATAAAATAATAAATTTAGTCTGAGCAACTCTCCATTAACACAAACTATCGGTGAAACAAATAAATTAATTTATACTTAATCAGTTTATTCCACGTACGTACGTACATTCCTATTGGTTGAAGCAAACAGGCCTTACGAACCATCTGCCTAATCTAGTTTTTTGAATCAAGGCCCAAATTAGAACGGACCGTAATGCACTTACAATCATCCCATGTACAACTTGCACAAAGATAACACAAGCTACAAAAAAAACTGTACAATTTAATCCAATTTAGTTCATATATGCACATACTATTACACCATGCTTTCATATATGGCAAGATTAAACTTTAAAAATTACAAATTAATGCATGTAAGATGATCTAATTTCAGGGGTTAATTTCAGTCAAGTGCAACTTCAGGCAACTTCAAATGTCAACTTCAGGCACGACATGCACATAGCTATCGCACACATTCTCATATATGGTAAGATGAACTCTAAAAATTTATAATGACTGTAGATTCCATTCACAAAGATAACACAAGCTACAATTTTAATCTAAACACGGTAAATTGATGCAGTCTAATTCATTATCAAAGATAACACAAGTTACAAAAAACTGTACGATTCTAAGTTTATATATGCGCATAACTATTAAACTATTACACTTCATTCTCAAATATGGCAAGATAAAACACTATAAAACTCTAATAAAGTAACTTCTGATTGACACCTATCAAACTTAAATCGTAACAACATCCTAGCATAGCTTAAATAAATTTTATACGAATGGATCCAATTTATCAAAGTAAAAAATATGAAACAAATGAGATTATCGTTGAACCATGTCTTGCCGAAGGAACTGCTCTTTTAAAAATTTCATTAGGAAAGCAACGACAAAAAACATTCAAAATCGACATTGATCAAGGTCAAATTTTATGGAATTCCAAAAAATCAGGAAAAAGTAAAATATTATTTCTATTTTTTATTGATTTGACAAAGGTATTTTGATATTTATTTTAATTTATTAATAATTCTCGTGCTTGCCCTATCTAATTAGTCAACATTGAAAGTATTGAGGAGATTCGAGTTGGTGATGCGATGCGAAGTTATAGGGAACAATTCAAACTTAGTGAGGATATTGGGCCTCGGTGGCTCACCATCATTTATGTTGATTTTGGAAAATATAAAACTCTTCATTTAGTTGCGCCGACCTTAGAATTATTTAATATATGGGTTGAAAATTTGAATAAACTATGTATGCACAGAAGAGATATAATCGGAGGGTTAGATCATTTGAGAAAACGGAATACTTTATGGTTGAAACAATACTGGAAGGAGGCTGATAAAAATGGCGATTCAAAATTAAGTTTTGATGATGTCGCAAAATTATGCAATACTTTGAATATATCCATGTCACATTCGCTGCTTAAGGCCAAATTTAATGTTTGTATAATGCATATATTATTAGATTAAATAATAATTATAAATTTTTTCTTTAATCTCAACTCTTGTTATTCTTTCTTAATTATAGGAAGCTGATGAAAATAAGAATGGTTATCTTGATTTTAATGATTTCCAACGATTGGTGAAGTTAATTAAACAAAGGGTTGAATTAGATAAACTATTTAATTCTCTGGCGAAAGAGCGTGGTAATATTTTAACACTACGAGAATTCAAAGACTTCGTTGTTAGAGTTCAAAAGGTTTTTTTTTTTTTTTTTTACTGCACGGTCTAATTAAGTTTGTTAAATGAATACTTTGACTAATATTATTATTTTATAACGAGCCAGTGCACTTTGAAAGAAGAAGAATATGATTATCTTTATTATAAATTTTGTGATAAAGACCTTAAAGAGATGAACTTAGAAGGATTTAGCAGTTTTCTCATGTCCAGCGACAACTCCATTTTTGCTCCAGAACATTGCAAAGTCTATCAAGACATGTCACAACCATTAAGTCATTATTTCATTAGTTCTTCGCACAATACGTATGTTATAATAATATTCGAAAGCCTTATTTTTTTTCTTACTTTAAATTAACAGCTAATTATTTTTGTGGATTTATTTTATCATTTAGATATCTTCTAGGAAATCAGCTGGATGGTAAATCATCAGTCGAAGGATACATTCGCGCCTTTCAGGAAGGATCTCGTTGTGTTGAAAGTATGAATATAAATTTATCTCATACATAAATTATACTTTTTTATACTTGTAATGCACTTTAGAATACTATTATATATTACTTATAAATCATATTGATTTCTTTTATAGTCGATTGCTGGGACGGACCTGATGGTCCCATTGTTTACCATGGATATACATTGTAATTAAATTTTTATACTTGTATGTTATTTGCTATATTATAATTATAGTGACAAATTTTAATATAAATTAGGACAACTAAAATCAAGTTTCAAGATGTTATTTCGACAATCCGTACCTACGCATTCAAATATAGTCCTTATCCAATAATAATATCACTTGAGGTTCATTGTTCTATTGAACAACAAAACCAAATGGCTTCCATTATAGTTAACACTCTGGGTGAATGTCTTGTCACTAAGTTCTTATCGGAAAACGAAACAGAATTACCGAGTCCTGAAGATTTGTTGTACAAAATAATATTAAAAGTAAGCATTTGTTATTAGTTATAGATCATTCCTATAAATACTTGATTGTCAAATATTACCAACATATACATATATTAATTTAAATCTATATATTCAGGGGGTCGACACAATTACTGACGCTAAACCTGAGTCTGAGGTTGAGGCAGATTTTAAATCCCCTAAAGGTATGTCTTTTTTGAGAACGTCTATTAATGCATTCATATATTAATATTATATTATTGATTATTAAGAATTTATTCTTCTATTTAATAGATGTAATAGAAAAAGAAAAAAAAATGACTAAAGTGAAAGTTGCTGAAGCTCTTTCAAACTTGATAGTTTATTGTAATTCTGTTAAGTTTGGAGGATTTGATCATGGTATGCTTATTAAAACTATAAATTTAAGGGTAACATTTTCTTAAAAATTAATAGATTATTAATGTGTAGATAATATGAAGTTCTATGAAATGTTTTCGCTTGACGAAAAAGCTTCTTCAAAGCTTTTGAAACCTGACAAGGTTGCTTATATTCGGCACAACATTCGTCATTTAACACGTATATATCCGTGGGGTCTTCGGTTTGATTCGTCAAATTATGAACCACATCATCAATGGATGGTTGGAAACCAATTGGTTTCCTTAAATTCGCAGAAATTTGGTTAGTTCAGACTTTGATTTCACTTTTTTCATTTATGACATTTTATATAATCTTTATATTGGTTATTTCAAGACCTAGGAATGCAAATCAATGAAGCTATGTTTTCTGTTAATGGCGGGTGCGGTTATGTACTCAAACCTGAGCGATTACGCAATCCCAATGTTTCTCCGGATATAAATGTATCACGAACTTTGACAATTGAAGTATGTCAATTTGATAAATTCAGCCTTATTTGATTTATAGATTTTAATACACTTTTCTCTTTTGACTGAATAGATAATTTCTGCACAACAACTCCCAAAAGATTCCCCCAAAGGTGAGGTAATTGATCCATTTGTTGAAGTAGAATTGCTTGTCCCTGGAGCCGAAGCTAGTAAACAAAAAACTAGCACCATTTCCAACAATGGTTTTGACCCTACGTGGAATAAAACTTTTAAATTTACATTTAACTACGAAGAAATGAGTTTAATATTTTTGAGGTAAATATCTAAGACCAATTAATGCTTCGTTATAATTCATTTAAATAAAAAAAAATCATTAAAAATTGTTAATCTGAATTTATAAAGATTTGTTGTCTGGGATAAAGACCTAATTGACCTTGATGATTGCCTTGCAACTTATTGCATTCCCTTAACAAGTTTACAATTTGGTGAGAAAATATTAAATTTTTATTTTATGTTATTGTTACCAATTAATAATTCTGAATAAATGTAATGTACTTTATCACTTTTTAGGGTACCGTTATGTCCCACTAAATGATTCTATTGGCAAAAAATATCCTTATTCTACTTTATTTATTTGTTCTTCTCTCGAATAAATTACTGCATGCAAATGATGATATGCTTATAATTTTAGTTTAGACGTCTATATTCTACCTTGGTTTTATATTTGGAGATATAAATTAGCTTTTATTTAATATACATATAGTTTAAATATATAAAAAAAATTTAAAGTTATTTGGTACAGCAACCGATTGAGTAAATTGTTAAAATATGAGCTCTTCAGTTTTCACTACGTAAAAACAACGTTGTGAAAGTAATAAGTATTTGCCAATTGTTGATTTTCTTATTTGTGTCAATAATATCCAAAAATAATCACTTGAAAATAAATATTTTAAGGTTAGGGATGGGTACGGTTAGGGTTATAGCCGTTGTGACCGGTTATTAGCCGTAACCGGTCAGAACGATTTAACTGACCGGTCAAATAATGACCGATGCCAAATTCTTTAAAAAACCATGATTTTTATTTGGCCAATTCGATAAAATCTGAGATTTTGAAATAAACCCGGTTAACACTCGTTAGTGCTGGTAAACAAATGACGTAATTGCATGATTTTTTCTGGTCAAATTTGCAGACCATTTGACCAGAATTAGATTGTTTTGAAAATGTCACTCAAATTTTACTAATTAAAGTTGTTGAGGAAGAAATTCCGATTATGATGATGATAAACTGCCAAAATCAGCACAATATATCATGAGATATGAATATTTTAATTTTCGCGATCTTATTTATGTCGTGAGAATTAAAATTCTCATCTCGTTATCCACTGGGTCAATATTGATTTTTAACCATAATTATAGCCGAAATTTCTTCCTTTACAACTTTATTAGAAGTAGAAGGAGGGTTTACAGAGCAAAAATCTAAATAATCAATTAAATAATCGATCGGTTGTGACCAGTCATTTAGCCTTATTATTATTATTATATAACCGACCACGGTCATCAATAACCGATAATTACCGATCGTGACCGACCAAACCCATCCTTAGTTACGGTGTTGTGACTAGAGCATACATAACGATGAGAATAAAAATTTGAAATTATACCAGTAATCTATCATACGTATGAAAATACTAGCCACCGATTCTTAAATATGATTCATTTATAAAATTTGTCACGTGCATTTTTTTTCCTTAAAACCTGCAGTAATATCGGATGTTGGGAGGCGTTTATTTATTACTTATATTATAGAGAATATATAATATATAAAGAGGTTGGTATTTCTTTTCTGTGCTACTTGACACATTTAATTCGTCTTTATTCATCGTTTCTGCTCTATAAGACATGATACGTGTGATTACGCGTTATGTGTATCAAAGATGCTTTCGATGTTTTTTTTTTGCCCACCTTATTTATAAATACCAAAGCCGGGTTTCATTAATGTCGTGCCTGAAATTTATACTTGCCTTAAGTTCCTAAAATTACCAACTAACGCGTGCAAGATGAAATTATAGTATATTCCCCGAAATTAATTTCCCGCAACTCATTTCCCCGATACCGTAATGTAGACATGCTATTTCATCCACAGGACATTTTTTCGATAATATATATTTGATATTACATATTTTTTACAATCCTTTTCTTAGACATAATTCTAACCAACATTAGCTCTAAATAAGGCCAATTTTATGTCGAGGAAATGATTGTCAGGGATTGTTGAAAACATGTAATGTCGAATATTACGGTGTCAGGGAAATGAGTTGGTGGGGAAGTAACCTTCGGGGAATCTATTTCAGGGGCTAATTTTAGTCAAGTGCGACTTCAGGCATCGGCAACGGCTCGACATCAACATGCAATTTCATCTACAGCACATTTTTTAGATAAAACATATATATTTGATATTACATGTTTTTAACAATCCTTTCTTAGACAAGACATTTTCTCGACTGTTATTTCCACGACTTATAATTCTAACCAAAGCTAGCTCTATATTTGATCAATCCTGATGCTAAATCGGGCCAATTTTATGAACATTTTATGTCGATAAAAATGATTGTCGGGGAAATGTCTAAGAAAAGGATTGTTAAAAACATGTAATGCGGATATATATCATATGAAAAACGTACCATAGATGAAATAGCACGTTGGCATTACGATGTTGTGGAAATGAGTTTGCGCAGAAATAACTTTCAGGAAATTGAGTAACAACATTTACGACTGTAGCAATTCTAAATTTTAGAAAATGCGTAGCTAATTTGAAAAATTAATATATATAATAAAATTGTCTTGAAAAATAATATAAAACATAGTGATTACTACATCTTATAGAGTTTTTTCAAGTCAAAGACCCCATATTAAGAAATTAATAATGCCTTTTCTGATTTATTTTAATTGAAACAGCCAATCAAATTATATAGCAAAGCTTTACTAAATTAGTAATAAGTTAAATCTTAATATTTTGTTATATGTATTAAGATATTGTTAAATTTAAATCTAAATATAAATATGCACGAATCTAATTGTAACGCAGTGTTATATGCTTATTTGTAATATCTTATTTAGTATAGCCAATAAAAAATAATTAAAAACTCATACAATTCAAATCCTGACTCTAGCTAATCATGTAATAGACGTTATGAATACATTTTTTCTAAAAATATTTTACTTCATATGACAACAAGGCTTTATAATTTAATTTGTTATTAAAAATTTGGCAAGAAAAATATTTAGTGATAATGGCAGAGGGATCACTATAACGAGTTTATACTGTAACAATAATGTTTATTAGGCCAAGTATAACTCGCCAGGTCGGATTTTTTTAAAAGTAAATTAAAAGAGCATTTTTAAATTTTATGTTATGAGAAATAAGAACAAACTTTATACACAAATAAAGACTAATGTTTTAAATTTATTTTATTCATTATCTTTTTTGCAACTTCTTTATAACACTGTGTATTAAAGCTGTCAGGTTTAGTTACAACCACGGGTGTACCAAAATCTGATAATTCACAAATATCAGCGTCTAATGGTATATCGCCTAAATAATCTAAATCCATTTCTTTAGATGTTTTTAATACTCCATTTTGACCAAATATGTGAACTTTATGCTGACAATTCGGACATGTAAAAACTGACATATTTTGAACAATCCCAAGAATCTTTTTATATTAAACAAGGAATAAGTTATCAATTATAACATTTGTGATATTAAAATTTCAATCAAAATTTTAAAGGAAGTCATAGACATTACCGGAACATCAACTTTTGTAAACATATTAGCACCTTTTCTGGCATCTATAAGAGCAATATCTTGTGGTGTAGATACAATAACAACACCTAAAAAACATCAAAGTATACATGAAATATCAGAAAACATCAAGTAATATGAAGTATTATGAAAGTTACCATCTAAAACAACTTGCTGGCTAATTGTTAGTTGTGTGTCACCAGTTCCAGGAGGCATATCAATTACTAATAAATCAAGTTCACCCCATTGTATTTGATGAAGCAATTGTTGAAGTGCTTTCGTCACCTAAAAAATAAATATGTATATAAAATAAATAAGAAAACTAATGAAATAATAGATATGAGTGTTGCCAAAAGAAAACCCGAAAATCTAAAAATAGATCATTATGAAATTCATAAGTGATCTATGTGATCTATTTTTAGATTGTTGGGTTTTCTTTTGGCAACACTCATATAATACATAAGGATTGTTAAAAGAAAAATATTAAAGACTTTCCATAAGTCCTCTCCATACAACTGGTGAATCTTCACCTATAATGAATCCCATAGACATTGCTTTCACTCCAAAGTTTACAAGCGGAATCAAATCTCCTTAAATAAAAATTGATTTTGGTTAAATATGAGGTGCAGAATACTGAAATTTTAGTTAAAATCACGTACCTTTTTCGTTCGTTTGAGGTTCCGCTTTTAGATTTAATAAACGAGGTATAGAGGGACCAAATACATCTGCATCTAGAACACCCACACGATAACGAAAAGATGCAACTGCTAATGCAAGATTTACTGTTTTAATTAAGAATTATTGTAATAAACAGATAAACAATAACACTGTAAATTAATTACATTTAAAAAGAATTAATAGTTCAACCAGACAAATATCCCAAAAAATTAACAAGGTACTTACTAGCCAATGTGGATTTACCAACACCACCTTTACCTGAAGCTACAGCAATTATATGCTTGACACCATGAATTGGCCTTTTAGTTGGTAATCCACGACGTATGCGAGCTTCCATGTCGATTTGACTTTTTGTCCGGGCCTCTTTTTGAGAAATCCCCTGTAAGTATAATTACCAATTTTAAAATTAAAGATATTGCGATTTTCATGAATGTATTATATATAATATGCGACAATAAAGAAAAATTACCATGGAGTTCTCATGGTTAATTACTGCGCTTGTAGTAATTTTTTTTCGGAATGCCAGTTTGTTCGATAAACGAACTGGATATCTAATTGGTAATGAAAGCCTCATTTTGTTTTTTGTAACTAGAACATGAACATGAACATTCAGGCGGCTTTGCCGCCTGTTTTAATTATTATGTGTAGAGGCAAAATTGTATTTTCATATTTCTAAAATAATTCGAATAAAATGATAAAGTGTTACTTGATAGTAAAGATTAACAACCTGAATAATCTATTTCAAATATCTCATTTTATAAATATTTATTTTTCTCTTATATATACACTCACATATTAAAATTAATAAAATGAATTCAAATATCTTGATACCTAAATGCCTTATCTAATTAATTGGTATAAATAAACCGAAGTTAATGAAATTGTACAAGAATTCACGAATTTAACGAATTAGGATCTTCGCAAATTAATTTAGATGAAATGAATACTTAATTGAGTAAAATTAATGTAAATTAACGGGATTATATTTTTGTGCGGACTCTAGATTTTTAATATATTTTTAAAATATAATAAATTATGAATCAGTTTCGATCAGCTCACCGACAAACATCATAGTTACCGGTAATTAATTCAAGGCAAGGTTTATTTTACAGACTTTAATTCACAGGTAAGTTCATTTCATAGACAATATATTTACCAACAGCTCATTTCACAAGTTTTTTTTTTTAATAAATTGAACTAAGCTTAAGGATATGCCTTTTATTCCAACATAATTACTTTGTATGAGAAATGAGCTGTCGTAAAAATATACAGTCCATGAAATATACTTGTCTTTGAATTAATAATCGGTAAAATAATTTTGTCTGTAACTTAATTGTCGTGAATTAAGTTGTCCATGAAGTGATTATCGGTAAAATAATACAGACCCATAAAGAATAATGAATGATAATATCAGTGAATAAATAAAATATCTATAAGATATTTGGAGTCGCTTCTGCGCCCAAACCACCTTATAGATACTTGATTTATCCGTTGATTTATATTAGCATGCCGATATTTTTTTACCTACTGTAAAATAATTTATATCAAACATATTAGCCTATTATCGAAAAGTAATGAAACTGATTTAAGAAGACAAACTTGACAAAAGGTGTGAAACTGACAAAATGTGCAAAACTGACAAAAGCTAGTAAAACTAATGCATTCAAAAATATGTACTGTACTAGGCTTATACGATAATAAAATCGCTATAGAATTTATTACATGAGTAAAATTGTTTTATTTGTGTGATAAATGAGGCTTATAGAACAGGATTCAAAAAATAAAAATCAACTATCGCTATTCTTTCAGCCTCATTGAATAAATCACATGTTTGTTTAGGTTTAGCCACATTTTATGGTCACGAAAATTAATCCTTTCGAATGAACTTGACGATCTAAGGTAGTATACATAGTAACCGCATAAAAAGTCCGCGGACACGTGTCTTTAAACTATAGTTGTTAGACGAAACCTCGAGGTTTCGCGCTGACGAAAGTCGAAACCTAGTTTCGACTTTCGTCAATTAAA